ACTCTACAACCCAACTCGGTACATCATCAGATGCAGCATTCTTCACCTGACCTCAGCCGGACTATAAATACTCGCGTTCCTTCCACCCCAGGTAGTTTCTGTTTGTGACTTGAAAAAGCCCACTGTGTGGGCGAAACGTAGTCAATAAAGGATCACATTATACTGCATTTGTGTTTATATTGCCAGGGCCACAGTTTGTAATCTTTATGAATAATAACCACAATATTTTGTAACTGTTGAGATTGTGCAGTGTGGAACCTACACAAAAGTGAACTCATAATTCCATGCAAAGGCCACACCCATTTCCTAGAAGGGCCACAGGTTGGGGACCCCTGGTGTAGAGCATTACTACAAGTAATGTGCACACTAAGTACAGTGTACTACATTACTAAAGAAGTGTGTGCCTTAAGGTCATGAAGCCAGAGTTATAAATAATGCAAGGAAAAACTTAACAAATAATGAATACAGGTATTTTATTCAGGTACTGTATACATACAAGATATACAGAATAACTAAAAAAAAAAATGGTGTGGTAGGCTCTTTGATGGAATTTAAAAGATTTTAATGTTTTTCTTATCACTATATTATATGCAGTAAAAAAATGATCAATTATTTAAATTTATGTATGTAGTAGGTTGGTAGACAGCAACCACCCAGGGAGGTACTACCGTCCTGCCAAGTGAGTGTAAAATGAAAGCCTGTAATTGTTTTACATGATGGTAGGATTGCTGATGTCTTTTGTCTGTCTCATAAACATGCAAGATTACAGGTATGCCTTGCTACTTCTATTTACACTTAAGTCACACTACACATACATGTACACATTTATTTATACACACTCATCTGAGTTTTCTTTGATTTTATCTTAATAGTTCTTGGTCTTATTACTTTTCCTTTTATATCCATGGGGAAGTGGAATAAGAATCTTTCCTCCGTAAGCCATGCGTGTTGTAAAAGTCAACTAAAATGCCGGGAACAATGGGCTAGTAACCCCTTTTCCTGTAAAGATTACTAAAAAGAATAAGAAGAAAATTGTCAAAGTGGGAAGTCTGAATGTGCGTGGATGTTGTGCAAATGATAAGAAAGAGATGATTGTGGATGTTATGAATGAGAAGAAGCTGGATGTCCTGGCTTTAAGTGAAACAAAGCTGAAGGGGGTGGGAGAGTTTCAATGGAGAGGAATAAATGGGATTAGGTCAGGGGTTTCAAATAGAGTTAGAGCTAAAGAAGGAGTAGCAATAATTTGAAGGATAAGCTATGGCAGGAAAAGAGGGACTATAAATGTATTATTTCAAGGATTATGTGGAGTAAAATAAAGATTGGATGTGAAAAGTAGGTTATAATAAGCGTGTATGCACCTGTAGAGGAGAGAGAGAGATTTTGGGAAATGTTGAGTGAATGCGTGGGGAGTTTTGAATCAAGTGTGAGAGTAATGGTGGTTGGGGATTTCAATGCTAAAGTGGGTAAAAATGTTATAGAGGGAGTAATAGGTAAATTTGGGGTGCCAGGGGTAAATGTAAATGGGGAGCCTTTAATTGAGCTATGTGTAGAAAGATATTTGGTAATAAGTAATACATATTTTATGAAAAAGAGGATAAATAAATATACAAGGTATGATGTAGCACGTAATGAAAGTAGTTTATTAGATTATATATTGGTGGATAAAAGGTTGATGGGTAGGCTCCAGGATGTACATGTTTATAGAGGGGCAACTGATATATCGGATCATTATTTAGTTGTAGCTACAGTTAGAGTAAGAGGTAGATGGGAAAAGAGGAAGGTGGCAACAAGAAGCAAGAGGGAGGTGAAAGTGTATAAACTAAGGGAGGAGGAAGTTCTGGTGAGATATAAGCGACTATTGGCATAAAGGTGGGCTAGTGCAAAGATGAGTAGTGGGGGGGTTGAAGAGGGTTGGAATAGTTTTAAAAATGCAGTATTAGAATGTGGGGCAGAAGTTTGTGGTTATAGGAGGGTGGGGGCAGGAGGAAAGAGGAGTGATTGGTGGAATGATGAAGTTAAGGGTGTGATAAAAGAGAAAAAGGTAGCTTATGAGAGGTTTTTACAAAGCAAAAGTGCTATAAGAAGAGCAGAGTATATGGAGAGCAAAAAAAAAGGTAGAGAGAGTGGTGAGAGAGTGCAAAAGGAGAGCAGATGATAGAGTGGGAGAGGAACTGTCAAGAAATTTTAATGAAAATAAGAAAAAATTTTGGAGTGAGTTAAACAAGTTAAGAAAGCCTAGGGAAAGTATGGATTTGTCAGTTAAAAACAGAGTAGGGAGTTAGTAGACGGGGAGATGGAGGTATTAGGTAGATGGCGAGAATATTTTGAGGAACTTTTAATGTTAAGGAAGAAAGAGAGGCAGTAATTTCATGCACTGGTCAGGGAGGTATACCATCTTTTAGGAGTGAAGAAGAGCAGAATGTAAGTGGCGGGAAGGTACGTGAGGCATTACGTAGAATGAAAGGGGGTAAAGCAGCTGGAACTGATGGGATCATGACAGAAATGTTAAAAGCAGGGGGGGATATAGTGTTGGAGTGGTTGGTACTTTTGTTTAATAAATGTATGAAAGAGGGGAAGGTACCTAGGGATTGGCGGAGAGCATGTATAGTCCCTTTATATAAAGGGAAAGGGGACAAAAGAGACTGTAAAAATTATAGAGGAATAAGTTTACTGAGTATACCAGGAAAAGTGTACGGTAGAGTTATAATTGAAAGAATTAGAGGTAAGACAGAATGTAGGAGTGCGGATGAGCAAGGAGGTTTCAGAGTGGGTAGGGTGTTTACATTGAAGCATATATGTGAACAGTATTTAGAAAAGGTAGGGAAGTTTTTATTGCATTTATGGATTTAGAAAAGGCATGTGATAAAGTGGATAGAGGAGCAATGTGGCAGATGTTGCAAGTATATGGAATAGGTGGTAAGTTATTAAATGCTGTAAAGAGTTTTTATGAGGATAGTGAGGCTCAGGTTAGGGTGTGTAGAAGAGAGGGAGACTACTCCCGGTAAAAGTAGGTCTTAGACAGGGATGTGTAATGTCACCATGGTTGTTTAATATATTTATAGATGGGGTTGTAAAGGAAGTAAATGCTAGGGTGTTCGGGAGAGGGGTGGGATTAAATTTTGGGGAATCAAATTCAAAATGGGAATTGACACAGTTACTTTTTGCTGATGATACTGTGCTTATGGGAGATTCTAAAGAAAAATTGCAAAGGTCAGTGGATGAGTTTGGGAATGTGTGTAAAGGTAGAAAGTTGAAAGTGAACATAGAAAAGAGTAAGGTGATGAGGGTATCAAATGATTTAGATAAAGAAAAATTGGATATCAAATTGGGGAGGAGGAGTATGGAAGTGAATGTTTTCAGATACTTGGGAGTTGACGTGTCGGCGGATGGATTTATGAAGGATGAGGTTAATCATAGAATTGATGAGGGAAAAAAGGTGAGTGGCGCGTTGAGGTATATGTGGAGTCAAAAAACGTTATCTATGGAGGCAAAGAAGGGAATGTATGAAAGTATAGTAGTACCAACACTCTTATATGGGTGTGAAGCTTGGGTTGTAAATGCAGCAGCGAGGAGATGGTTGGAGGCAGTGGAGATGTTCTGTTTAAGGGCAATGTGTGGTGTAAATATTATGCAGAAAATTCGGAGTGTGGAAATTAGGAAAAGGTGTGGAGTTAATAAAAGTATTAGTCAGAGGGCAGAAGAGGGGTTGTTGAGGTGGTTTGGTAATTTAGAGAGAATGGATCAAAGTAGAATGACATGGAAAGCATATAAATCTATAGGGGAAGGAAGGCGGGGTAGGGGTTATCCTCGAAAGGGTTGGAGAGAGGGGGTAAAGGAGGTTTTGTGGGCAAAGGGCTTGGACTTCCAGCAAGCGTGCGTGAGCGTGTTAGATAGGAGTGAATGGAGACGAATGGTACTTGGGACCTGACGATCTGTTGGAGTGTGAGCAGGGTAACATTTAGTAAAGGGATTCAGGGAAACCGGTTATTTTCATATAGTCGGACTTGAGTCCTGGAAATGGGAAGTACAATGCCTGCACCTTAAAGGAGGGGTTTGGGATATTGGCAGTTTGGAGGGATATGTTGTGTATCTTTATATGTGTATGCTTCTAAACTGTTGTATTCTGAGCACCTCTGCAAAAACAGTGATAATGTGTGAGTGTGGTGAAAGTGTTGAATGATGATGAAAGTTTTTCTTTTTGGGGATTTTCTTTCTTTTTTTGGGGGTCACCCTGCCTCGGTGGGAGACGGCCGACGTGTTGAAAAAAAAAATAAATTAAATTTAAATTCATTACTGATGAAATGAGTCGCAAAAGAATGAAATGAGTACTGTAATATATTGTAAATACAAGTCAATACATGATAATCAAAATTTACATGCAGTATTACAAATTATACAACTGGTACTTGACTTACATACCAGAATGCAAATCATTAAAACTGTTAGGGAAAATATAAACAAATTGCAAATGTATACTGTAGTTTAGAAAATATAAGTGCAAAATTACAAATGACATAGTATTTATACAGTACTGTAAGGTATTAATATATTACAAGTTATTAAGAGAACAAATGGTGAACTCCACTAAATAATTAAAATTAGGGTATCTTACAAAAGCTATGGTACAGGCATAACAATTATAATGGAAACAAAATTAACATAATGTACCAATAAGAGGGAAAGGAAAAACAAACAGGCCATGCAAAAAAAAAAAAAATAATAATAAGTCACTAACATACTGTGGTAAATGTTTTGTCATGTATCATATTTTCATTTGCTTTTATACACAGCTCATTATCGTGGCAACCTAAAAAAATTGATACTGCATAATTTAAGTGTAATTTTTAGTTACTCCTTTTAGTAGTAGTTAGTACATTTTAGCTGATTAAAATGTTTACCAAACAAATTTCAGTTAGTGCACAACTAAATGAGGTTATCCACTTATGGCTATGGTTATTTGTCCTTCCCCTATGGCTTAAATAAAAAGCCATTTAACGTACCGACTGTGCAGGCATTTTTTGGATATGCATTGGAACTGATCAAGAGTGGACCACTCAGAACTGCAAAAAGAAATAATAAAAATCAAAGTATACTTAAATGAACAATCTAACGAGTCTTTTACACAACATGCATGTGTCAGACAGCAAAAATGATCGGTAAGAAAGTAAAAGGTGTTGCTCTCATAATTACATTCTTTTGTCTACTGTACGTATATCAAGCTGACCATTCATATACACTGCCCGTCTTCACATCTGTATTAGCTTTCACAGTTCCAAATACTATAATTATTCAAAGTTAACAGCAATAATTATGTCCTTAGTTAACTGTATACTACAGTTAGTTAATTTTTTAATCAAGGAGAAGTGTTAAACCTCTAGTGGTCATACAACACCTGGGGAATGGGAGGAATTCAGGTTCACTCTAAGGAAGGAAAAGATAAGTCCAGTTCACTGGAACAAGAGCCCCTCACTATCATCATCATTTAAGGTATTCATCCAAGGTACTGTCAAGTTGTTTATACATTACTGTAGATGAAAAAAATCAATAAAGTTCCACTAGCAAACAATGCCTCATCTAGGTATGCCTAATTTTGTAAAACTGTAAAGTTCCCGTTTTACTACTTCATTCTTGGTTTCCTCCTTCAGACTTCCCAATACATTACTATACATTAGCACAATTTATTTTGCCTACATCTTTTTCCATTTTTTTACAATTTCAGAAAGCAAATCAATGTCAGACTACAGTTTTGGCATTTGTTTACTTTGCACAATATGTACTGTACTTAAAACTTTTCCTGGCATCATATTCTGGAGGTCTTATTCATTCTATGCTAGTCTATAGACTACAGATGTTATGAAGTGCACCTCTTGACATTTTCTGCATTTAAAGAAATGATTACTGTAGCCATTTTATTCCTCAAAGACCAGGGAATTTTGGCTCCCCCTCCCCCAGGATGCCACCCCAGCCTGGTAATAAGAACATACATATAGTGTAGTGTTGTATTATATTTCTGAGTTACTACTTTTATTAGACAGCTGGTAAAATTTTTTACTGATATGCTGGTACATATTTTGGACTGGGCTGTCCAAGCTGTGTTTGTTAATGGCAAAGCATAATTACTGCACCTATTTGTATAGTACAAGATATAAACATAATACAAGATATGATATAGCATGTAATGAAAGTAGTGGTACCTTGGTATACGTCCTTAATTCGTTCCAAGACCTTGGACTTATACCAAACAGGACGTATACCAAACGAATTTTCTCATAAGAAATACAGTGGACCCCCGGTATTCGATGGCATCGGTATTCGATAAATTCGGTATTCGGTCCATTATATCGCAAAAATTTTGCCTCGGTATCCGATCGAAAACCCAGTATTCGATACGATTCGTACGAGACGTGTCCACGTGTGGCCTGAACTGCCCCGTGTGTGCCAGTGTTTACAAGCCAGCCAGTGTGCGCGCATCTAAGGATACATTCTGTACATTCCATATTATCCATATTATCACTGTTTTTGGTGCTTGTTCCTGCAAAATAAGTCACCATGGGCCCCAAGAAAGCTTCTAGTGCCAACCCTGTGGTAAAAAGGGCGAGAATTAGTATGGAAATTAAGAAAGATTTTGAAGGGTTTGGGACTAACCCTGAGAAGCCTATGCCAGTTGTAGAATCCATTGTGCCTACTTCAAAGATTAAGGAAATGTGTGCAAAGTGGGTTGAACTGCAAACCTTTATGGATGAAAATCACCCTAACACAGCTATTGCAAGCCGTGCTGGTGACTATTACAATGACAATGTTGTGGCCCATTTTAGACAAATCTTAAAGGAACGGGAGATACAGGCCACTATGGACAGATATGTTGTGCGACAGAAATCCAGTGACTCTCAAGCTGGTCCTAGTGGCATTAAAAGAAGAAGGGAAGTAACCCTGGTAAAGGACTTGCTACCTCAAGTCCTAATGGAAGGGGATTCCCCTTCTAAACACTAACACCTCTCTCCTCCTCCCATCCCATCAATCACCACCAGATCTTCATTAAAGGTAAGTGTCAATTATTTTATTGTTATTGTAATTATTCTATTGCATTAAACTTAATATTTCATGTAGTAAAAATTTTTTTTTCATACTTTTGGGTGTCTTGCACGGATTAATTTGATTTCCATTATTTCTTATGAGGAAAATTGATTCGCTTTTCGATATTTTCGGTATTCGATGAGCTCTCAGGAACGGATTAATATCGAATACCGGGGGTCCACTGTATGGGGAAGACGATTAATCCGTTCCCATGAAAAAAATCCTATTGTTAATTGCATATTATACATTGATGGGATTGTATAAAATAATTTAAACACAGATTAATACTATGTAATTTAAACAGTGCTTAATACTAAAATACATACATAAATACAAAAGAATTAGATGAAACAAATGCAAATTGAACCTCACTTTACTTTGCTGAAAAGAGTCGAGTGCCTACTAGGATAGTGCTGAGAAGGGAGGAGGAAGAAATGTTATTGTTTGGAAGGAGAGTCCCCTTCTCTTTTCTGTCTCTTTTCCTATTTGAACCTGGTTGAAGCTCACCAGGTTTGACTTTTACTAAAAATCTGTCCAAAGAACTTTGCTTCTGCCTTCTCCTCAGGATGTTTCGGAAATGTGACATTGTCTGGTCATTCCACACAATGCTATTATGGCTTGTTTGGGCTTTGTTGGGGTGGTACTTTTCTGCCTGGTTTTTGACATCCATCCATTTGGCAAAGATTTCCTTGATTAATGAAGTATGGGGTTCCTCTATCTCCTCCTCTGCCTGAAGAGAGTGCCTCCATCTTAGTCTTGTGCTCCTCCTCCTCAAGTTCTTGCAGCTCCTCAGTGGTCAGTTCTTCCCTGTGCCCCTTCACTAACTCCTCCTCATCACTGTCACTCACAACCAGACCCATGGACATGCCCAGAGAGACAATATCCTCCACTACAGACACAGTTTCAAAGCCCTCAAAGTCCCTTTCAGCCACTGCTTCTGGCCACAAATTCCTCCAAGCAGAGTTCTTTGCTTTTGATCTGTATGGGAGTTGAAGAAAGGTTAGAAGAACAGGAACAGAATTGGATGAAAGCTGGTTTTGTCTGACTCAGCATATTGTTGTTTGGATTACATTAAGATGAGGTGCTTTTCAACAAGAGCTCTGAATCGATTGGCAGATAGGGGACCTTTCAATACTTCAGGCATGAAGTTCCAGATCTTATGACACTTTGTTTTTACACAGGTTGAGTCGGATGCACAAGATGTCAAAGAGGTTTTTGTCCTGTGATATGCCTGTGTGTTCTATTGCAGCTTTCAAGGAAAAGTTTAGAGAAGAGTATACATATATTGGAATTTACTGTCCTATACAATGGAACCCCAGATATAGGCCGGTGCAGATATCGGTCGCTTTTCTGGCATTAATTCTATCCTGGATTATGGCCGGCAACTCGGAAATCGGCCGTATTGGGCACGTCTGCCCACCACGCCACGTGCGTGAGTCAGTCTGCCTGTGTCTCTCGGTGAGCAAGCAACACTCCGTGCATTCATCCAAACATTTCGTTATAATCCATTGTTTTTTGTGGTTGTTTATTGAGTGTGACTGCAAAATAAGCCACCATGGGCCCAAGAGCTAACCACTGAAGAGCTGCAAGATTTTCATCTGTAACAGCAGGCACTGTACTTCCCATCTCCAGGACTTGAGTCCTGGAGATGGGAAGTACAGTGCCTGCACTCTGAAGGAGGGGTGCTAATGTTGCAGTTTAAAAACTGTAGTGTAAAGCACCCTGCCTTGGTGGGAATCAGCCAGTGTGCTAATAAAAATAATAATAACAGCAACAGACCACAGCTGAGGAAACTGGTTCAGAGGTGGAGGAAGAGAGAAGAAAGAAGGTGTCTTCTTCAGCAATTAAGGACATATGTACAAAGTGGAATGAGATGCAAAGTTTTGTGGAGAAATATCACCCTGACCAAGCTGAAACAAGCCATATCTGCAACATGTTCAGTGACAAAACCTTGTCCCACTTCAGGCAAATCTTTAAAGAGACACCAGAAACAGACCTCTCTGGACAGTTTTTTTGTGAGACAGGGGTGCAGTGACTCTCAAGCTGGTCCTAGTGCCAGTAAAAGACAAAGAAGGGAAGTAACCCTGGATAGGGACTTGATACCTGAAGTCCTTATGAAGGGGGATTCCCCTTCCAAACAATAATTAGTCCTCCCTCTCTCCTCCTCCCTGTCTTCCAGACGCCAACAAGAATCTTCAGTAAAGGTAAATGTGATGTTAAATGTTCATTTATCCATTTCATTAGTCATTTTATTTAGTTCTCATTGTTTTGTGTAAGTAAAACTATAGTTAATCTTTAAAAAACTTATTTTTTGTTAATAATTTTGGGTGTCTGGAACGGATTAATTGTATTTACATTAATTTTTATGGGAAATATTACTTCGGTTCTCGGCCTTTTCGGATTTAGGCTGACCTTCTGGAACAGATTACAGCCGAAATCCAGGGTTCCACTGTAGTATATGTTTAGTAGGCACAGTAGTATGAGTGTATATTAAGTAAGTTTAAGCTTTTGAAGAGTGGAGGAGTGTATTGTCTGGCACTGGAGTGAGTAGTCATTCACACAGTAGCTTTTTGAGTTATTGCTTTTGGCAATTTGACATAGTAGATCCCCAATCACAAATACCATAGGTGAGGTAAGGATAGATGAGAGAGCAGCACAATCTAAGTGGTGCTGTTTGAGGTACACGGTAACGTATCTTGGAGAGGATGCTCAAAGGCCAGCAACACTCCCTGGAATAATTAACTACTATACAAGACTCTTTATTTGCTAATGATGAGGTCAATCCTGTTGTGTTGTGGAGTGCCATCTCAGCACTGAAAAGTAACTTTGTTACCTAACTTGCAAAGTGGTATCCCTTACACACTTCACTGAAATCATGCCTGGGAGAGATAAATGAGGTCCAGCAGCCTATTTGCCATAAAAACAGCTTGGAAAGTCACAGTACATACTGTACCAACAAAGCAATTTTGCACAGCTTATGTTAAACCAAAATTTTCCGTAAAAATCGGCAACACAACGTTACTTGCCAACCCTGTCAGTTTGGCCTGTTCACATTCCACAACCTGAAACTGGAACAAGATTTTCTAGTTGATAATGAAAACTGGACCAAGATGGACTCGCATCATGATTCTTTGAAGAACATTTCCTCCATGACTGTATATGTACACATTGTTTCTTTACACTTGGTGCCATTGTTCACCTGGCAGTAAGTAGTTACCTGGGTGTTAATTGACTGTTAAATGTCTCATCCTGGGAAAGAGGATCAAAGGACTCCAATGGAAGTTATCAGACCAAGTGGCTGTGTTTGGCTATCCTGGGTTACTAACACTCTTGGATAATAATTTGTAGATTCTTTCTACCATAATTTATTCTATAAAGTTTGTAACAAAGTTTATCAAAAGAACATTAAGATAAGCTTTGCTTTGTACAGATTATTAACCCAGAGGATTGGCCACCCAGGATAACCCTTAGTGCATCATTGAGGACTGTCTGTCTTATTTCCATTGAGGTCCTTCAGCCTTGTCTCCCCAGAGGGGACAAGACTGAATTTTATAATTATAATCATGGGGGAGCACTAAACCCATAGGATTATACACATGTGGATGGGGGGGGGGGGAATGGAAGGCATTCAGGCTCAATTCAGGGAACCGGAGCAAAGATACAATTCCCTAGATAGAGAGCCCCTTGCCAGTGTCAAGGAACCTCCTTTGAGGGGGTACAACATTGAACGACCAGCTGACTAATACCCAGGTATCCACTTACTGCTAGGTGAACAAGGACACCAGGTGTTAGGAAACATGCCCAACTTTTCCACCCAACCAGGAATTGAATCATGGACATTCAGTGTGTGAGGCAAGAGCACTGCCTACCAAGGATGTGTCATAACATTTTAGAGGAGCAATGTAGTAAGCCAAATGGCCAATACTTTGCAGGTCTTTCTTGAACATAACCCTTCTCCCTTGTATATCTGTCCATCCCATTTTTGAAGCAACCCAAGGTGCTAGCTTCAATCACTCTACCTGGTAGTTTGCACCAATCATTTTCAACTCTAAATAAGAATTTATCCACTTGAATCCATTGTTTTTAGTTCTTTATTGGTTAGATACTCTCAGCCATTATTTATATCTTATTTATACTTGTCTTCTACTTACAGACCTCCGTAATTCTATGATCAATCAATCTTTGTATGTAAGATTCTTTATATACCCTGGTTTAATTTTATCATCCTCTATGCTCTCCAATGCATTTATATCCATTCTGCAATATGGAGACCAGAACAGTAGAATAACCTTTGAGCTTATTTCTTATACATTACATACAATACTTCATTTGCTGTGAGTGACCATGGCTGTGGGTGACCATGGCTGTGGGTGACCATGACTGTGGGTGACCATGGCTGTGGGTGACCATGGCTGTGGGTGACCATGACTGTGGGTGACCATGGCTGTGGGTGACCATGGCTGTGGGTGACCATGACTCGATTGGTAGCGAACTCAACTCGCACACTGAGACTGGGTTTATTCCAGACAACGGAAACTTGGACGTTTCATTACTTGCTGCACCTGCCACTTACCATGGCTTGGGTACCATGGCTGGGGTGACCATGACTGTGGGTGACTGACTGTGGGGACCATGACTGTGGGTGACCATGACTGTGGGTGACCATGGCTGTGGGTGACCATGGCTGTGGGTGACCATGGCTGTGGGTGACCATGGCTGTGGGTGACCATGGCTGTGGGTTGACAGCTGTGGGTGACATGGCTGTGGGTGACCATGACTTTTGGTGACCATGGTTGTGGGTGACCTGCTGTGGGTGACCAAGGCTGTGGGTGACCATGGCTGTGGGTGACCATGGCTGTGGGTGACCATGACTCGATTGGTAGCGAACTCAACTCGCACACAGAAGGACCTGGGTTTAATTCCCAGACTAACGGAAACATTGGACGTTTCATTACACTTGCTGCCCCTGCCCACCTACTACCAAAGTGGGTACCCCCAATAGTGGGGGTAGATAAAAGATATATATATGGGGAAGAGGACTGAAGGACCCCAATAGGAATATGTCTGTCTAATGACATGGATTTGTTGGGTTATTCTGAATTACTAAACTAACCTTCAGGGTTAGTTTAAATTAGTCAGAATAAAATATTCAAGTACAGATGAAAGTATCACTCGACGAGTCAGGTTCATCAGTGGTGATCCTGTGCAGAAACCGCTTGAGTGAGCACACAAGCTTCAGTCTTGACTGGTAATGAGAGGACTACATTACCACTCAGAGTTTAAAGTTCGTCACTAACAAGTGTAGAAGGAGTGATACGTGAGCCACTAGCATCACCTTTACTTCTCTCCTCCACATCATAACACCACGCATACTCATGCCGCTCTTTTCCTTTCTTTACAGGCACTTCGTAGCAATGTATGGGTATATTAATAATCTTCTACAGTTCAATATTATTTAATTTAAGTTTTAAGTATAAATCAAGTCTAAGAAGAGACTGTTAAAGGACAAACCCTGGAGGAAGGCTTCTGACATGCTCTTGTGTCCACCATCTTGTTTACACTACCTGTGACGTCATCATTCACTCGGTTTCTGCTCACATCGTACAAAACTAACATAAACTATCGTTTAGTAATTATATCAACCGGGACCATGCAAACCAGACTTTCTTGTCCTTATGAAACAAATTAAATGAAGATATGACTATATTAAACACAGCAGATGTAACAAACACCCTCCTAGACATTTAGAAGTGAATAGAACTGTATAATTAATACATAACATTCCTGGGAATGAACCGTAGTAGTTACACATAAGATATCGAACACACCCTATATGTATCTTTCTGAGAAGGCACGGTAATGTCATATATACATATAATAGTCTTATCTGATAGCGCAGAATCAAACTGTTGCGATGTTCAGCTGTATTATCGTGCATCTGCCACACATTGTCATTAACTCCGTTTTCTGTGAGCAATCAATGAAAGGGCGGTGACCACTGTTGCTGAACTGCTGAATATAAAATGTGGAACATGCTTTCTTTGCTTTATTGTCGAGTAAAATAATTTACAATATAGACATATTTAAAGACATAAATGAACAGAAAACTTTTCATGATTCACAGCAAACTTCCAGTCTTAAAACAGTCATTCTTCCAGAATGTAGAAATTGTATCTAGGAAATTATTTGTTTTACAGTTCCATTAACTACGAAATTCTATTCTATAATACGACATTGACACAAGAGATCAACTGTCAAACTGATGAAACTATCCAGAAAGCTCAATACATATAGCGCCTCTTGATCCCTTCACTTGAAGAAAAAAAAAATTGTCCAGAACTCGATGTCACAACGTCTCGTGATTGTAACCTTATTTACGGTAAAATACATATCACTTGAATGTCTGTCACTGTTCTTTCAAGCTGTCGAAATTCATTAGGTTTCAGCGTATTTGCTATATTACACACCAAACACGTTCTAACTTGCATGTATAATGGAAGTGTTTTAGAAATACTGAAACCCCGAAAAGTATTTATAAATATATAAATAAGGCTGCTTTGCATTTGTTATAACTGGGTAAACTTATAAACACCACGGAAGAGAGAAGAACTAAAGGAGATGTGATAACAATGTGCAAGATACTCGGAGGACTGGACAGTTCAGGCAGGTACAAACTGGAATGAGAAGTACATAGGGGTGAGGGTACAGTTGGTACTTAGTTGGAATGAACTGGATGAGGTACATGATAGAGGTAAACACTGTATACAATTTCATGACTAGGTATAATCAATGAATCAGTAGACCAAGAATCAGTAAATGCTGGCCAGCTTATGAGTTAAAAGGTGGGGGCCAGGAGCTGAGCGTCGAGCCACGCAAACACCACTAAAAATTCTTTGAAGTCAATATTTACGCACATTTCAAGGAGACTTTAAATGTAGCGAACAGAACAGATACACACACCAGATTATTATTATCAAAACAATGCGCTAGATAAGATAAGATAAGATTTCGTTCGGATTTTTAACCCCGGAGGGTTAGCCACCCAGGATAACCCAAGAAAGTCAGTGCGTCATCGAGGACTGTCTAACTTATTTCCATTGGGGTCCTTAATCTTGTCCCCCAGGATGCGACCCACACCAGTCGACTAACACCCAGGTACCTATTTGCTGCTAGGTGAACAGGACAATAGGTGTAAGGAAACGTGTCGAAATGTTTCCACCCGCCGGGAATCGAACCCGGGCCCTCCGTGTGTGAAGCGGGAGCTTTAGCCACCAGGCCACCGGGCCACCTACTAGGGTCATACAGCTCACACACACTAGATAAATGTAGACTGATAGGATTATTGGATTTTGTAGAGACCCGTCAAGGTACATCTTCCTCATCTTCATCTCCTGCAACTGTCACGCTTACTAATTAACACCAGTGCAACTTACTCTTTCTTATCCTAAGTTAATAAATGTCTAGTGGCCCCCTCTGTAATTAGTATTTTATAACATGTAAACCACACAATACCCAAAACCTGTAAACTCCACATTGTAACCCTTATAGAGAATAAACTTGAATTGGAGACAGAGAGAGAGAGAGAGAGAGAGAGAGAGAGAGAGAGAGAGAGAGAGATAGAGAGACGGACGGACGGAGGGAACGAAGGAAGGAAGGAGCGAACGAACTCGTCCATCTCAAGATTTTGTCATGGAGTACTTTAAACTGTACATGGTACTGGTGTGGCTTATGGTGAAAAAATTATGCTGTCATTTTGGTAGTATTTGGAACTGATGCAGTAAGATATGATTCCAGTCACTCTTTGATATATAACCTGTTTATAGTTAGTTTAGTATGTTTATTATGCACCCCATACCCATCCTGTGGGCAGTAGTCAAAAGATTACAGAGGAATATAAATGGTCCAGGGACTGGACTCCAAAGTTTTGATAGCTGAGCAAGTTACAGAGGTAATGAACCCACAATTACAAAGGTAATGAACTCACAATTTACAAAGATAATGAACTCCAGGTAGGTCTGGTCACAATCATGACAAGTTACAAAGGTATTTACAGATTACAGAGGTACGTAATGGGTCCAGGGACTGGGCCCCCAAAATTTTGATAGCTGAACTAGGTACAAAGGTAATGAATCCTGTAAGAATGGTTGCTTACGTTTATACATGGCTACAATCATGAACAAATTATAGAGTAATGAGCAATTCACACTTCCACACCCGGTCACAACTGTAATGAGTTATTGGTGCAAATACTGATTGTTGAGTCACACACACACACACACACACAGGAGCTGTGAATCGACCCCTGCAACCACAAATAGGTGAGTACACACACACACACACACACACACACACACACACACACACACACACACACACACACACACACACACACACACGTGGTAATGCTTTATTTACAGGGAGCAAAGTCGGGGTATTTCTCCAGAATGGTCTGTAATATACCATTGTGGATAAAATACTTTACCTGTTTATCTAAAATGAATTTACAGTTTTCGGAATCTATAATATAACCAAAAGGAGTTTATTCAGATTTCTTCCTGAGTCTTCAAAACCTCGAACGAATGGACACTGCTTTCATGGAAGAACATACCAACACAATTTGTCATGGAATCTCAGCAACTGCACAACTCAGCGCAGCAAGAGTTTAAAGCAAGTTTCTCTTCTATCTTCACAATTGCTGGACCCCTTCGATATAATCTCGGATGCACTAGAAGATAAATAAAATGTCGACATAGCGTACATAGACTTTGCAAAAACCTTCGACAAGTGTGTTCATGGTGTAACAGTGCAAAATACGTTCAAAAGGAATAACCTGGAGTATACCTGGAGAGGGTTTCGGGGATCAATGCCTCCGCGACCCGGTCTGCGATCAGGCCTCTTGGCAGATCAGAGCCTGATCAACCAGGCTGCTACTGTTGGCCACACTCAAACCGACGTACGAACCACAACCCGGCTGGTCAGGTACTGATCAAGCGGACATCGACTAAATCTTCAAATGGGCCACTCAAAACAATATGAAGTTCAATGAAGAGAAATTTCAACTACTCAGATATGGAAAACTTGAGGAAATTAAAACTGTATCAGGGTATACAACAAATTCTAACCATACAATAGAGAGAAAAATAATGTGAAGGACCTGTGAGTGATAATGTCAGAGGATCTCTCCTTCAAAGACCACAACAATGTATCTATCGCATCTGCTAGAAAAATGATAGGATGGATAATGAGAACCTTCGAAACTAGAGACTCCAAGCCCATGATGATTCTCTTCAAATAGCTTGTTCTCTCTAAGCAGGAATACTGCTGTACACTAACTGCCCCCTTTCAAGGAAGACAGCCAGGGGTCTATTTGTAATCCCTCTTGTGTATGCTGGGAGGGAGCTGAACACTCTTGGGCCCCTGGCACTTGTGTTGTCTCTTAGTGTACTCGTGGCGCCCCTGCTTTTCATTCAAATTCAATTCAAATTCAAAGTTTATTCTCTATAAGGATTACAATGCTGAGTTTAAAGAATTTGGTTATTGTGTGGTTTACATGTAGTAAAATACTAATTACAGAGGGGGCCACTGGAACACCTAGCATGGCTAGGCATTTCGGGCAGACTTAGATTAATTCTTAACTTTAAAATATTACAAATTATGAGGTAAGTTGGTATTATGGCTAAGTGACTAAATACTAGTTTGTGAGTTTAGCAATGTGAATGCTTTTGTTTTGGCACAATACATAGTTTCAGTATTGGAGTATCACAGGCCAACTTATGACTAGTTAGGATTCATTATTTTAAGATTGAGATTGATATTTCTGTTTATGGTCAAATGGGTGAGTGAAAGTGTGAACCACCAGGTGGTATTCGTGTAATTAGTTGACGGGGTGTATCAGGGAGATAAGATGTTTTCTAATGGTAGTTTTGAAGGTGATGAATGTGTCTGTAGTTCTAGAGTTATCAGGTAGGGTGTTCCAGATTTTAGGGCCTTTGACATACATTGAATTTTTGTAAAGGTTTAGTCGGACACGGGGAATGTCATAGAGATGTTTGTGTCTGGTGTTATGCCTGTGGGTTCTGTCACAACTATCAAGAAAGCGTTTTAGGTCAAGATTAATATTGGAATTTAAGGTCCTGTAGATGTAGATTGCACAGTAGTAAGTGTGGATGTACTGAACAGGGAGTAAGTTTAGATCTATGAAGAGTGGGGGGGGGTGTTGCCAGGGATAGGATTTAGTGATTATTCTTACTGCGGCTTTTCGTTGGGTTATTATTGGCTTTAGGTGTGTTGCTGCAGTTGATCCCCAAGCACGAATAGCATAGGTGAGGTATGGATAAATAAGTGAGTGGCATAGTGTGAGAGGGGCGTTTTGCGGCACGTAGTATCGTATCTTGGAGAGGATCCCAACCGTTTTGGATACTTAAGATTTCGTTCGGATTTTTAACCCCGGAGGGTTAGCCACCCAGGATAACCCAAGAAAGTCAGTGCGTCATCGAGGACTGTCTAACTTATTTCCATTGGGGTCCTTAGTCTTGTCCCCCAGGATGCGACCCACACCAGTCGACTAACACCCAGGTACC